TATAAAGTATAGATAGTCTGCATCACATGTGCACTCCTTTGAAGCATATCTAAATTTCCACTTTCTTCAGTACCATCACCACTTCATGCTTGTTCTTCATGGCACCTGCAGTATCACTAGAACTTCTCTTGGATACCATGGTTAACAGCCATATGAGATAGGGTGAAGAAGAGCAAAAATCATAAACTGACTAAGGCATGCAATGCTGCCAGAAAGCAACTATAGGTGGCATGGATGAGGGAAGGAGCAGTGCCTCTCCAAATACTCAATGCTTAGACCCAACTTGGGTCAGAGAGGTGAAAAAATCCATGGTATATACTAAAAAGGTTTTGCGAGTAACTTGATGCTTCTGAGTTTTCCAAGTAATTTTGTCAGGGTTTTCATTTATTGTATTTACATAACAACCCAACTTGGGTCAGAGAGGTGAAAAAATCCATGGTATATACTAAAAAGGTTTTGCGAGTAACTTGATGCTTCTAAGTTTTCCAAGTAATTCTGTCAGGGTTTTCATTTATTGTATTTACATAAAAATTGCTTCATGTAGTATAACTTTATACAGTTTTGGGAGAGCAATGCAAATGTGTCTTTACTAGAGACATGAATGGCCTAATTTGTTATAGAAATTATAAACAACTTTTTGTTTGTGCAGTGTAGCTTGAATGCCCTATTTTTTCTTCCCGGTATGCGAGTTTATCAAATTCTTTGTTTATTTTCTTGCAAGCTTGCTTAATGATTATAGTAAGATTGACACTTATTTTGCTGCTTGGATATTCTCGCAACCCAACAATTTGCTACATGTTCCTACGAACTGTCCTGCAAATTTACTAGATCATTCATGGATCCCTGTCTACACCGAGGCACCCAGTACATGTGTCAAAATTTAATGTATGAGTATGAAATGTATTTCAAATATTGTATACATGCAAATGCTGTACAAGAAATTCAATAACATGTAGGAATCAAATTTTAATGTAGCAGCATCTGACTATAAACAGATCTATCAGCTGGAATATATGTATCAAAAAATCTTGTTGGGTGCTAATGATATACTGAGATATGCCCACAATTTACATCATACTGACAGTAAAACAATTTAGTGATTACATTCTAATTCCTTTCCACTGAAACTCTCCCACCCCCTTCAGCTTTGTTTCACGTAAAGCCAGGACATCCAGCTTCTTTTCATTCATAACATCCACAATCATCTCTTTCTTATCATTTGCACAACATCCACGCACATTCAGACTTCCCACTTTGACAATTTTCTTCTTCTTATTCTTTTAGTAATTATTATAGGAAAAGGGGTCACTAGCTCATTGTTCCCGGCATTTTAGTTGACTTTTACAACACGCATGGCTTACGGAGGAAAGATTGTTATTCCACTTCCCCATAGACATAAAAGTGAGCATAGAAAAGAGTAAGGTGATGAGGGTATCAAATGATTTAGATAAAGAAAAATTGGATATCAAATTGAGGAGGAGGAGTATGGAAGAAGTGAATGTTTTCAGATACTTGGGAGTTGACGTGTCAGCGGATGGATTTACGAAGGATCAGGTTAATCATAGAATTGATGAGGGAAAAAAGGTGAGTGGTGCGTTGAGGTATATATGGAGACAAAAAATGTTATCTATGGAGGCAAAGAAGGGAATGTATGAAAGTATAGTAGTACCAACACTCTTATACAGGTGTGAAGCTTGGGTTGTGAATGCAGCAGCGAGGAGGCGGTTGGAGGCAGTGGAGATGTCCTGTCGAAGGGCAATGTGTGGTGTAAATATTATGCAGAAAATTCGGAGTGTGGAAATTAGGAGGTGTGGAGTTAATAAAAGTACAGTAGACCCCCGGTTAACGATATTTTTTAATTCCAGAAGTATGTTCAGGTGCCAGTACTGACCGAATTTGTTCCCATAAGGAATATTGTGAAGTAGATTAGTCCATTTCAGACCCCCAAACATACACGTACAAACGCACTTACATAAATACACTTACATAATTGGTCGCATTGGGAGGTGAACGTTATGCGGGGGTCCACTGTATTAGTCAGAGGGCTGATGAGGGGTTGTTGAGGCGGTTTGGTCATTTAGAGAGAATGGATCAAAGTAGAATGACATGGAGACCATTTAAATCTGTAGGGGAAGGAAGGCGGGGTAGGGGTCATCCTCGAAAAGGTTGGAAGGAAGGGGTAAGGGAGGTTTTGTGGGCGAGGGGCTTGGACTTCCAGCAGGCGTGCGTGAGCGTGTTCTATAGGAGTGAATGGAGACGAATGGTATTTGAGACCTGACGATCTGTTGGAGTGTGAGCAGGGTAATATTTAGTGAAGGGATTCAGGGAAACTGGATATTTTTATATAGCCGGACTCGAGTCCTGGAAATGGGAAGTACAGTGGACCCTCGCCTAACGCTATTAATCTGTTCCTGAGAGCTCAACGTTAGGCAAATTTATCGTTAGGCGAATTAATTTTCCCCATAAAAAATAATGGAAATCAAATTAATCCGTTCCTGACACCCCAAAGTATGAACAAAAAAAATTTTTAGCACATGAAATATTAATTTTAATACACGCAAACTGAAGAAGACATGCACATTTACATGACACTTACCTTTATTGAAGATCTGGTGATGATTGATGGGATGGGAGGAGGGGAGACTGTGGATGGTGTTAATTTTTAGAAGGGGAATCCCCTTCCATTAGGACTTGAGGTGGGAAGTCCTTTTCCGGGGTTACTTCCCTTCTTCTTTTAATGCCACTAGGACCAGCTTGAGAGTCACTGGACCTCTGTCGCACAACATATCTGTCCATAGAGGCATGTACCTCCCGTTTCTTCATGACATTCCTAAAGTGTTTCACAACATTGTCAGTGTAATAGTCACCAGCATGGCTTGCAATAGCTGTGTGAGGGTGATTTTCATCAAAAAAGGTTTGCACTTTAAGCCACATTGCACACATTTCCTTAATCTTTGAAGTAGGCAACTTCTTCAATTTCTCTCTCCCCTCCTCCGAAGCAGTTTCCTCAGGTCTGCCCTCTTGCTGTTCAATATGATCTAGCAGCTCATCAGTGGTTAGTTCTTCATTGTCCTCCAGCACCAACTCTTCCACATCCTCCCCACTAACCTCCAACCCCCAAGGACTTCCCCAATGCCACATTGGATTCCTCAACTGGCATACGAATGTGTAGACAAAATCCCTTTTTTCTACACATTCTGGCCACAGTTTCTTCCAAGCAGAGTTCAAGGTCCACTTAGTCACTCCCTCCCAAGCCTTACCTATAAGGTTTACACAATTGAGGATATTAAAGTGATCTCTCCAAAACTCTCTTAGAGTCAATTGAGTTTCTGAGGTCACTACAAAGCACCTTTCAAACAGAGCTTTTGTGTACAGTTTTTTGAAGTTTGCAATGACCTGCTGGTCCATGGGCTGCAGGAGAGGAGTGGTATTAGGAGGCAAAAACTTGACCTTAATGAAGCTCATGTCTGCAGAAAGTCGCTCTGCCACATATGAAGGATGACAAGGAGCATTGTCTAATACCAGGAGGCACTTAAGGTCAAATTTATTTTCAATTAGGTAATTTTTCACAGTGGGGGCAAATGCATGGTGTAACCAGTCAAAGAAAAAGTCCCTAGTGACCCATGCCTTACTGTTTGCCCTCCACAGCACACACAAATTAGCCTTGAGGATATTCTTTTGCCTGAACGCTCTGGGAGTTTCAGAGTGATACACCAATAAAGGCTTCACTTTGCAATCACCACTAGCATTGGCACACAACAACAGAGTAAGCCTGTCTTTCATAGGCTTATGTCCTGGGAGTGCCTTTTCCTCTTGAGTAATGTAGATCCTGCTTGGCATTTTCTTCCAAAACAGGCCTGTTTCGTCACAATTAAACACTTGTTCAGGTTTCAATCCTTCAGCCTCTATGTACTCCTTGAATTCATGCACATATTTTTCAGCAGCTTTGTGGTCCGAACTGGCAGCCTCACCATGCCTTATCACACTATGTATGCCACTACGATTCTTAAATCTCTCAAACCAACCTTTCCTGGCCTTAAATTCACTCACATCACGACTAGTTGCAGGCATTTTTCTAATTAAATCCTCATGCAACTTCCTAGCCTTTTCACATATGATCACTTGAGAGATACTATCTCCTGCTACCTGTTTTTTGTTTATCCACACCAATAACAGTCTCCCAACATCTTCTATCACTTGCGATCTCTGTTTCGAAAACAAAATTGCACCGTCGGCAAGAACAACTTCCTTGATTGGCGTTTTCTTGGCCACAATAGTAGCGATGGTTGATTGGGGTTTACTATACAACCTGGCCAGCTCGGAGACATGCACTCCACTTTCATACTTAGCAATGATCTCTTTCTTCATTATTATTATTAATAATGAAGAAAGAGATCATTATCATATCATATCCATAGTAATTCTCACCCTAATTCCTGTAGGAGGGCACTAGAAGCTTTCTTGGGGCCCATGGTCACTTATTTTGCAGGTGAAATCACTAAAAATGCTGTGATAATACGAAATGTTCCAATTGTATGCTTGGATGTGACCGTGGAGGCTGGCTTGTAAACACTGCCACCCACGGAACAAGTGAGGCTGGCTCAGGCTGTACGTGGACGCATCTCGGACGAATCGCGTTGAGTTTTTTAGTGCTAGGTGAGGCAAAATTTTTGCGTTAAAATGTATCGCTAGGTGGATTTAACGTAATGCGATGCCATCATTAGGCGAGGGTCCACTGTACAATGCCTGCACTCTAAAGGAGGGGTTCGGGATATTGATAGTTTGGAGGGATATGCTGTGTATCTTTATACATATATGCTTCTAAACTGTTGTGTTCTGAGCACCTCTACAAAAACAGTGATTATGTGTGAGTGAGGTGAAAGAGTTGAATGATGATGAAAGTATTTTCTTTGTTTTTGGGTCACCCTGCCTCGGTGGGAGACGGCCGACTTGTTAAAAAAAAAAAAAAAAAATCTAATACCAGAAGGTCTTTCACTTACCAGTGATGTAGGACATCATTCATGAGGTATATGATGTGTAATTTGTGATTAAATGGACCACTGTTAGCTGTAGCTCTGAAAAAACAAAAACGTTGGTTGTTAGATATCTAGATGAAGAAAAATTTCATCAAATACATGTATATCAATCACCTAAACACAGGACATTAGTTCATAAACAATATCTAGACAGATAAAGGAATTTTTGACACCTACAAGGATATGTTGGTGATGAAGGAGTGAAATCATTTACAACCCTTAACAAATTTTGCAGATGGCCTATGTAAGTTCTGAGGGTTGTTGAGGTGGTTCGGACATGTAGAGAGAATGGAGCGAAACAGAATGACTTCAAGAGTGTATCAGTCTGTAGTGGAAGGAAGGCGGGGTAGGGGTCGGCCTAGGAAGGGTTGGAGGGAGGGGGTAAAGGAGGTTTTGTGTGCGAGGGGCTTGGACTTCCAGCAGGCATGCGTGAGCGTGTTTGATAGGAGTGAATGGAGACAAATGGTTTTTAATACTTGACGTGCTGTTGGAGTGTGAGCAAAGTAACATTTATGAAGGGATTCAGGGAAACCGGCAGGCCGGACTTGAGTCCTGGAGATGGGAAGTACAGTGCCTGCACTCTGAAGGAGGGGTGTTAATGTTGTAGTTTAAAAACTGTAGTGTAAAGCACCCTTCTGGCAAGACAGTGTTGGAGTGAATGATGGTGAAAGTTTTTCTTTTTCGGGCCACCCTGCCTTGGTGGGAATTGGCCGGTGTGATAATAAAAAATAAAATATAGATTATAAACAACCTATATAATTTGTTACATGATTCATCCTGTTTTAAGGATAGCATGTCACAAGAGTAACTTTATAAAATTTTTTTGTTTTTAGTTTCATCAACAATGTAAGAAACACAATACAGTAAGGCCCCGCTTTACGGCGTTTCTCCTTACGGCGTTCCGCTAATACAGCGATGTCAAATTATGACCAAAATTTGCTATATGGCAAGCGGTCTTTCAAATACGGCGCCCCCCACCTGGTTTGTTTACATTTTCCGTGACCTCATCTATTATGTCAGGAAACTTTCCAAAATTTCAAGTGTTTTAAAGTTACTGCATATTTTATATGTACTCTGATAATTATACTTAAGTGTACCTGTACCTAAATATACTTACACACTGTGCTGGTGTGCAGGTACACATTAAAATTGTTAAGTCTCTCTCTACTCATGACGCCAATACTACGTAATAACAATCACTCTTGGGCACACTAAATGTCTTATTTTACATCAATATAGGCATTTTCATTAATCCATCTATGATATTTTCCTCAAAATTATATATGAAACCCATTACATAGCATATAAACATGATACATACACTCACAGAATAAAAATTTACGTAAATATGAGATTTGTTTACAAAGCGGTTATGCAGGTAGTGTCGGAAGAATTACGTTTTCTCTAGTCAAACTGGGGGATACCTGTAGAAAAATATTCTTTTCGTATGCCTTTCCTCTATATATAGCAATTCACGACCCTTGTGGGTTTAGTGCTTTTTATAATAAATAATAAAAATAATATTATTATTATTATCTTCATTCACTCTAAAAATGGTGTGTTGCTGTTTGTTTATTCTGAAATAACTTGTACAACTTGTACACAATGTAAGAGTATTTGTATTGTGAGGTAATTATTATTAAAAAAATATTGAGGTAAATGTTTTACAAACTCTTACAAATGGACGCGAATGAACTAGAAGTAGACACATATTAATACGCATTTATTTCGCCTGACCAAGTGATCGTCCACTACCTGTTCAGTCTGTGTTCTTACATTGTCTCTACTCTGTATCTCATTCTCTCTCTCGTTTACTCTTTCGTTAACTAGTTGGCTCTCATTGATGATGGCGTCTAAGGTTAGCTGTGATAAAAAAAAAGAGAATTCGTAAGCCTCTTGCTTTAAGTGCCAAGTTAGAGGATGATGGTGTGTCATTCTGATTTTATTCAATAAACACCCTGCCACTCACCTCTCACACATTAATATTAATATTTTAAGGTAAGTAATAAGTGTACTCTGTGTGTATCTTACCTTTTATTGTGTTTTTAATGTCTATTTCTATTGCTAACTTAATATAAGTTAGTGTAAACTTGTTGTCTGGCATTTATTGCATATTTAATGTGTGCTCTGATAATAATACTTGTGGACCTGCATGGTAGCCGGGTGAAGGGACAACATTACCCTTTCTCTGCTCAGCCATCAGAGAAAACGTGTATGAATCTGCGTTTGGCCCAGCCACTCCCTCACTCCGCTTTTGTTTACAATTTTCAGCATGAGTTATTCATTACTTCTACCCTCGTTTATGATGGCATCTAAAGGTAGTTGTTAGAAATGATTAAATTCAGTGAACAAGGCATGTCGATGTTAATAATATGGCTCTGGGCCACAGTGTAGGTAGCCGGTAGGTGTAGCCCAGGCGGGCTACACCTACCGGCTACCTACACTGACTTCCTACAAATATATACTACTCACCTCTCTTCCTATATTAAGACTACACATATTTTAAGGTAAATAATGAGTGTACTGTATGTGTATTTTACCTCTCTGGGATGTTTTAAATATCGTATATTAAGTATGAGACGGGGAGCCAGGGCTACCTACGCCTGACTTCCTACAAATAAGCACTACTCACCTCTCTCCCTACATTAAGATTACAAATACTTTAAGTAATGAATTTACTGTGAATGTATTTTACTTTGTGTGTTTTTAATGCCTAGTTCTATTACTAACTTAATATAATTTAGTGTAAACTTGTTGTCTGGCATTTATATGCATTTATAAATGGAAAAAATGGCGTTCTCCCTTCCGGCGATGCCTGCTTTCTGCCGACAGCCTGGAACCTAACCCGCCGTATAAGTGGGGCCCTACTGTATATGCAATAACTAGAACAATAATTAAGGAGGGTTAAGGGGATTTATCAGTCAAATTTAATGTGTGTTTTTCTTACAAAACTCTCAGTGTTAATCACTACTTGTAACTTTAATTTACCACACCAACCATCTCCCAATAAAATAGGGTGACCCCAAAAAATAGAAACATTCACCACCAGTCTTTCAACTGCTACTTCACCAGAAGTACACAGACATGGCAATTTAACCCTTTCATCATTTCCGACGTACTAGTACAGCTTACACACCAGGGTTATTGACGTACTAGAATGCCTAAATTCTAGCGTATTCAAATCTAGTGAAAGCTGGTATACCTACATATGAAGGAATGGGTCTATGTGGTCAGTGTGCACAGTATAAACAAAATCCTGCAGCACACAGTGCATAATGAGAAAAAAGAAACTCCGACCGTGTTTCTGGTTTAAAACCGCGACTTTGCAGTGTATTTTCGTATGGTATTTATGGTTGTATTCTAATTTTCCTGGTCTCATTTTATAGAATGAAGGACATATTACAGAAATTGAGATGATTTTGATTGATTTCACAATGAAAAGTACCTTGAAATTGAGCTCGAAGTAGCAGAAATGTTCGATTTTTACCAAATTTCAAAAGTAAACAAATCATGCCAGGCGTCCAATACACGTCAATTGGTGAGTCTAATATTCTTTCACAAGTGCACTGACATTATTTATACCATTTCTACATTTCTACACTAATGCAGTAGTCTGCATAACAGTAAATCTTCTATTTTTTGTGAGAATAAAAATTCAAAGTGGAAAGCAAAAGAGATGTAAGAGAGGCCTGGGGACATGACTAATGAACAGAGAAAATGTTATTTTAGTGCCAGGAATGTCTGTGTTGTGTATTCTGGACCCTATTTGGAAATTGGCATCTTCTGAAATTTGTGTGAAACTGGCAAAATTGCCAATTTCTGACCACTTTATTGGATACTTGAAATCGGTAAATGGGTGGTTTCTTGTACTCATTCGATAGAAAAAATGGAGTTCTAGCGAAATAGATATGATTTCTGTTGACTAGTACACTGAAATTGGCTGAAAACAGGGCTCAAAGTGGGCGAAATCGCCGATGCGTCAACATCGTCGAGACTGCTAACTTCGCGAGAGCATAATTCCATAAATTTTCAATCAAATTTCATACTTTTGGTGTCATTATGACCGGGAAAAGATTCTCTATCATTTCAAAACAAGAAAATAATTTTTTTTTTTCCAAAAAAATTTTCGACCCTGAGAACGAGTTTAGGAGAGTCTCTCAACCCTGAAAGGGTTGAATGGCCTTCTGAACTGACCTTCAAAGTGAATGCATTGTAGCATCTCCACAAGAAAAAAAAACTGCCACAAAACACAAATAATTGTTTTTTACTGTCCATCACGTGCCATTCTTTCATTTAATTCCAACCATGTAAATAAAACCAATGAGACATTCATATCTGGCATGACCCCCAACTCAAATGAACATGAGAGACATGCAGTTTTCATTAACCCATAGACCATGTTAGCTGGAGGTGTTGCCACATTTGTTTTCCCCTTTTTTTTCCTAAACAACTGTCCACTTTTGTTGCTGTCTACAGCTGTTTCTGTCAATTGTGATGGATTGGGAAATGCTGTCTGGAGAAAACTTATATCATCACTCTCCTAGGTGAGGGAGTCCCTGTGAAGGACACTCAAGAGAAGCAGAGATGTATCCCCAAAGTCTGTCAGGAGCCTCAACAAACCTGCAAGTACTGCCTTACAGTACAACTCCCATTAGGAAAAAGGGGTTTCAGAAGCCTCATAAGACTACTCCATGAACTAATGCTTGATGTTCAAGAAGTGGCTAGGTGCACCCTGAAACATTGCCCACAAAAGGATCTGAGGATGCCATGTCAGAGGGCTGCCAAGAAACCCATTATGACAGAGAGTATGCACAAAACTCGTCTTGCTTTTTAAGTCAAGTACAAGAGCTGGACCTTGGATGACTCGAGAAACATTATATTTGGTGATGAATTGACTTTGTGTTATCATGAATGCCTTAAAGCAGATTTGACATCCAAGAGGTTCTTCAAGTTTTGACCCATGCTTTTCAATAAAAAAATAAGTCAAACATCCAGCCAAGGTCATGGTTTAGCATTTTTCTCAGTGGTAATGGTGACTGTGGTGGTTTGTACTTCCTATCCAAGGATGAGGTGGTGAATGTGGAGAAATATTTAAAAGTCCTTGATGAAGAACTTCACACTCATTATCATATTCATGGCACCAGCACTTTTATGTACAATTGAGCCCCTTGCCACTGCAGCAAGAAAGCCAAGAATTGGTTGAGACTAGCATGAAATCCATTTTAGAATGACTGAGAAACAACAGCTCGGATATCAATCCAATCAAAAATGTTTGGCAGGTGTTGAAATCCAGTGTTGCAGAGCAACAAATCTCAAGCATCCCTAAGTGATGGAGGTCCTATAAAAATTTACGGATTTATATGGTTCTAGACTTGTTTCCAGAAACTAGTGTAATTCTTTGCCAAAAAGGATTAAGAACTAATGAAAGCAAAAGGTCAAATGACTAAATACTGTATTGATGCACAGTTTGGCTAAATGATTAAATTGTTTTTGTGCTTTGTTCACCCTTTTGCAGCCTTATTTTTTTAAAGGAAATTTTTTTTTGTAGACTGTACCTCCCACCTCCACAACTACTCAGTTCACCACTTTCATGAGATGGAAAGGCACCAAACAGAAAATTGCATAAAAGTAAGTTTTTATTAAGACAGCCATAAATAAAAGTAATATAGTAAAAATAATAGAGGTAAAAATAAACATTTACCCAAACTTTCAAGCTGCTTCCCATTCTTAACAAAATCCAAGCAAACTAGGACCATTACACTATCATTATTTTTAACTCAACAGCCTTCTACCACCATCTTGATCCTATCTATCCCAGCTGCTTTAACCCTTACCATTCTAACCACTGCCTCACACACTTTCCCCACATCAACCTCAAGCTCCTCTTCACTCTTATACAATGTTATCCCTTCTTATCCCATGCATGGAATCACCACCTCTCCTTCATCACTAACATTCAACAACTCTTCAAAATATCATCTTCATCTTTCTGGTACCTCTACCTTCCCATGTAACAATTGCAATGGCTGTCACACAGAACTACACCACTGAGATTAGAGTCTCTCATGTAGTTCTACATCACGAGCTCAGCTCACTCAGGTAAGTAGTGAGTGGTAAATTTTGGCCTAGATATGAAGGAATGGGTTCATGCAGTGAATGTGCACAGTATAAAAATAAATCTAGCCCCACGTATTGCATGATGGGAAAAGCAAAACTGTGACCACATATTTGGTTTAAAATAGCAACTTTGAGAAGCTTTTTAGGAGTTTTTTCTTTTCTTTTTTTTTTTTTTCTTTTTTTTGGCTGTTTCATGGTATCATTTGATAGAATGGAAAACATGCTACTGAAATAAAGATAATTTTGGTTAGTTTTTAGACTGGCAGTAGCTTGAAATCAGGCTCAAGGTAGCAAAAATATTTGATTTTTCTTGAGAGTAAGACCTCCCTACACCCCCTGGGTTTGTAACAGGTCAGATTCAATTATGGGGATGCAATTAACCATGACCAATAATTCCCAGTAATTTTATAATCCAGGAAATAGAGTAAATCTTCAATGTGTGATTATGAATTCAAAATGGAAGGCATGATAAATGAACATTAGAAATATTGTTTTTGTGCCAGGAATCTCTATACTGTTTATTTGACACTATTTTTAAATTTACATATTTTTTTAAATTTGTGCCAACTTGGCAGCTTGAGGCAGTGGAGACAAAATGTATGAGAGCAATGTGTGATGTGCATACTATGCAGAGAGAATTCAGAGCACAAAAATTAGAAAATGGTGCAGAGTTACCAAAGGTATAATTCAGAGGGCAGAGGGTATATACAGTTGGGGTGAGAGGAGGGAAAGGGGTTGTGCCAGGAAAGATTGAAGGGATGGGTAAAGGAGATTTTGAATGCTAAGGGCTTGAGCATCCAGCATGCTTATGTAAGCATGTTAGATATGAGAAGAGACAAGCAGTGTTCATGGCTTTATGTGCTGTTGGAGTGTTAGCAAGATAACATTTAAGAAGGGATTCAGGGAAACTAATTAAGTGGACTTAGAGTCCTGCTAGGAGGAACGTATAGTTCCTGCACTGTGAAGGAGGGGTGGAAGTAGCAGTTAAAAGGATCATCTGAAGCCTACCATCTGTGCACTTCTGTCAAGACAGTTACTCTTTTTGGATCACCCTACTTTGGTGGGAGAAGCCAGTATTAAAAAATATTACCTTAAAAAAAAAAAGTGTTTTTAAAATATTTTGGTTTATTTTTGCATGGAAGACCAAAATGACTAAAATGAACTTGTAGATAAAGACAAGAACAGTCAGTGAGTTAAAGCAACTCTTGAATATCGTCAAAACCAGTATCAACTGAGTAATTATGAAACAAAGCCTGTCAGCCTTACTTCCACAGAAGGTATCGTGCAAGCCATTTATTCTTTGCTGGAGACTGTGCATTAGTGAAGATCCAATGCTTGCCATTAGATATGGAATCCTTAGTACATGACTCTGTAATGGGACCTAAGAGGTCCTCCAACTCATGAGTGGAGAAACCTAGGTCTGAGGCCTCATTACGCAAAACTTCACCTCTGGCTACATATATACCCTCTCTCACTTGACCATCCTTTTGCTGTTCCAGAACCTGCCAAGAATTCATAAAATATATTATAAACAAAAATTAATATATCTGACAAATAATAATGAGACAAACAATAATGAAATGAGCACAATGCAAGACAAGTGCCTAAACAAGAACACAAAATATAGTAAAACCTCAACATAACAAACTAACAGGTTAGGAGCGGGATGCCGGTAATGGTAATTGTAGTGGATAAAGATGAGATTATTTTTCCATGTTAACAACAATAAAAAATAATTCCAAATCGATTGACCCCAGCAGATTTCGGTCCTTATTACCAAAGTGTGTTATATAGAAGTCTATTACAAAGAATTTACTTTACAACTTCCCACTGGTATGGAAACTAGAACTGTTCCATATAACAACTATAATATCTTACAAATAAAATATAACAATTAGAAAAAACTGAGCATCACACACTTTTCAAAAAAAAAAAAAAAAAATTCTTACAGTGTACATTACTTTTATGAAGTTATTTTTTTTTTTCAACAAACCGGCCGTATCCCACCGAGGCAGGGTGGCCTAAAAAGAAAAACGAAATTTTCTCTTTTTAAATTTAGTAATTTATGGAAATATAAACACATATGCAGTATAATGTGATCCTTTATTGACAACGTTTCACCCACACAGTGGGCTTTTTCAAGTCACACACAGATCTACCTGGGGTGGAAGGTACGGGAGTATTTATAGTCATGTTCAGAATGTTGAAGTCAGGTGGAGAATGCTGCATCTGATGATCTACCGGGTGGGGTTATAGAGTCTTGGGTAGCTTGGCAGGGGTATTGGACAAGTTGTGAGTAGACCTTCTGCCAACTCCATTGCCAAACATGTTTCCAACATTTTTTCCAATACATCATTCCAAGTATCTACCTCCACAACCACGACCATCAAGGACATCACCAGGGGTATACATAATCCCTTGTAATGACTGCAACAAATTATATGTGGGCGAAACATCAAGAGACCTCCAAACACGTATTTCAGAACACCAATATGCAAGCAGGACTGACGATACAAGGAATGCCTGTGTACAACATCGCAATTCACACAACCATTTAATTAACTACAGAAACTCGAGACTTATCGCCACAGAAGACAACACTCAATACCGAAGAATCCTGGAATCATCGCTTATCTCTATAACCAACAATTTCAACCAGAACAACGGCTTCTATAACATAGCTGAACCACTCGCCAAGAAACTTCTTCATCGCTATCCCACATAAGAACATAGAACACTGCAGAAGGTCTACTCACAACTTGTCCAATATCCCTGCCAAGCTACCCAAGACTCTATAACCCCACCCGGTTGATCATCAGATGCAGCATTCTCCACCTGACCTCAACATTCTGAACATGACTATAAATACTCCCGTACCTTCCACCCCAGGTAGATCTGTGTGTGACTTGAAAAAGCCCACTGTGTGGGTGAAACGTTGTCAATAAAGGATCACATTATACTGCATATGTGTTTATATTTCCATTGTGTCGGTATTTTATACCATTTATTTCCTTAGTAATTTATACGGGAGAAGGGGTTACTAGCCCCTTGCTCCCGGCATTTTAGTCGCCTCTTACAACACACATGGCTTACGGAGGAAGAATTCTGTTCCACTTCCCCATGGAGATTAGAGGAAATAAACAAGAACAAGAACTAGAAAGAAAATAGAAGAAAACTGAGAGGGGTATGTATATATATGCTTGTACATGTATGTGTAGTGTGCCCTAAGTGTAAGTAGAAGTGTCAGCATAGTTGCTGATCCCCTTATATGTGTTGTATAGCGTATCATAGTACCATCCATGTGCTTTATATAGAAGATCCCTAGGCCGAGTGACTGTATGACATCACGGGATACAGCATGAGTCAGTGAGACAAGCTGCCTCCCTCTCAGTCGACGCATAGGCAAAGAAGAAGGCAGAACACGGCAGGCTGGGCTCCATCTCCCATTACCACAGTCTGTCTTACTGGCTTACTTTGCAAACTCGGGTCAACCCCTCGGGAGTGATGCAAATAAGCAGATAAACACTAATACAAAGAGACTGACCAGTGAATAATGTAGTGGCTGGTAGACGCTTGATTGAGGTAGCTGGCTTGAGGTAGCTGGCTTGAGGTAGCTGGCTTGGCTAGGTCGGCCTACTGGCGACACGAAATGGCCGTCTTGCTGGTCGAAAGAAATCTCCGTACATCGGTGTAATTATCAATTTTATGCCCACACCGCTGTCACCAAATTCCCGTGTGGGGTTCGGTAGGAGATTGATGGATAAGGTAAACTCACTTGTTGGATGGTAGCGCTATATTGTCAGACTGTGGTAATGGGAGATGGAGCCCAGCCTGCCGTGTTCTGCCTTCTTCTTTGCCTATGCGTCGACTGAGAGGGAGGCAGCTTGTCTCACTGACTCATGCTGTATCCCGTGACGTCATACAGTCACTCGGCCTAGGGATCTTCTATATAAAGCACATGGATGGTACTATGATACGCTATACAACACATATAAGGGGATCAGCAACTATGCTGACAGAAGCAGCAAGATGTACCTGAAATCTTGCATGTTTATGAAACAGAAAAAAGACACCAGCAATCCTACTATCAAGTAAAACAATTACAGGCTTCCGTTTTACACTCACTTGGCAGGACGGTAGTACCTCCCTGGGCGGTTGCTGTCTACCAGCCTACTACCTAGGACGAAGTTAGTTATTATTATTATTATTATTATTATTATTATTATTCAGCAAATCTTCAATTTAATGGACAAAGATAAGGGAGTGGGTACCTGGTAATGGTGACTGTAGTAGATAGTTAGGATTGTTTTGTCATGATAGTAACAACAGCAGACAATCCCTTAATCAACGGACTTTGTTCATTGTTTCTGAATCAATTGGTCCAGAGTATTTTATCCGGTATTTCCACAGTCCATAAAATGAGGTCCATTAAATCAAGAGTATGGGGAACACTCAGTTTTGATCTAAGGAAGGATGGGTCCAATTCCTTGAATCAAGTCCCTCACCAGGATGAAAGCACCAGAGGTTTCCAATGGTGATTAACACTAACAAGCATATGCAGTACTCAGGACGTTTATTAAGAAGACTTTTACCCACCAGGAGCTTCATCAATTCTATACAGAAAGTAGAAAATAGCATATACAGCAAGTCAGGTCAGGTGCTGCATGGGCTGGAAGGTGAAGCAAAGTGATGGCTATGTTCTTAGGTAGAATGGGTTTAAGAAGTATTTCTAAGATCATGAAACTGTTTGTTTTGAGAAACAGTGTTGGTAGTAGCAATCACAGTAGATGCTCAATGGCATCTTTGAAGCAAGCTGATATTTAACCCTTAAACTGTCCACACGTAGATATACGTTCACATGTGCTGGGCTCCAAACGTAGATCAACGTTTCGTTTTTTTCATTCCTTCAAATTTGGTTCAACAGGCCTGAGTCGCCTAGACATGAAAGAATGGGTCAGTCCACTCAGTGTGTGCACTATGAAAAAAATGGGGGACCACTTAGTACCTTGTGGGAGCACCAGTTCAACTGAGTGCCAGCTAGAGCAAATAGCATGGCAAACACCAGTGATTCACTGATGTCATGTCATATTAACACTCATATTTTTAAGAGGAAAGTAAAAATAGGTTAGATAAATGCATGAGTGGGTGTGGGTGGGTGTGAGTCGGACCTGACTTGCTTGTGCTACTGGGTCAGATGTCGTGCTCCTTCTTTCAGTGAACATGACCTGACTAGGTGGGTCATTGGTCTAAGCCGGGGGGTAACATGGACCTGCTTTGCATGGGCCAGTAGGCCTGTTGCAATGTTCCTTCTTATGTTCTAATGTATTCGGCTGGCTAGCTGGCTGGCTTTAGCTGTCTCTGTCTGTATCTGTCTATATCTCTGTATGTCCATATTTCTTTCTGTCTATATCACTGTCTATTTGTATCTCTCTCTATATCTCTGTCTCTCACATGTACTCATAAATACAGTTATTATACATAATGTAAATTACCTAGGATAACCAAAAAATTCCAGGCCAAGTGCTATACACTGTTTGTAGATATAAATAGACATAAATAAACATCACTTGCTCAGCAATCAGGGAGCGACCCATACACCACAAACCAACAGGTTTACTAGCCGCTCCCTGAGACAGAGACAAGCAGATGGAAAGACAGACACACAGGCAGACAAAGACAGATAAGCAGAACTAGACAGACAGATAAGCAGAGCTAGGCAGACAGACAGATGTACAGATAGATAGATGTACAAACAGATAGATGTACAGATAGACAGACAGACATACAGAGACATGTTTGTCTGCAAGAGTAAAAACTCATAAAGGCAAGGTTCCCCCTCCAGTAGGGCACATTCATCAAATGTCACTTGTTATCTGACGCTTGTCATAACACCATTATTCAAGGAGTTCATATTCTCCAGGCACACACATAAGACAAAGACAGATAAGCTGAATTGGACAGACAGATAAGCAGAGCTAGGCAGACAGATGTACAGATAGACAGGCAGACAGTCAGGCAGAGAGATAGACTGGCAGACATACAAAGACATGTTTGTGTGCAAGAGTAAAAACATATAAAGGCAAGGCTCCCCCTCTAGCAGGGAACATTCATCAAATGTCACTTATCTGACCCTTGTCATAACACCATTATTCAAGGAGTTTCATACTCCATCATGTCTAAAACATTGCTGGGACCTATAAATACTTTGTATATAATTCTAGACAGTAGTAAATGACCAGGGCAGGTGAAGATGTTCACCTGTCAGTATGATTGCTACAATTTGAGTACTATTTCAAATTCAAATTCAAAGTTTATTCTCTATAAGGATTACAATGCTGAGTTTACGGAATTTGGTTATTGTGTGGTTTATATGTAGTAAAATAATAATTACAGAGTGTACCACTAGAACACCTAGCATGGCTAGGCATTTCGGGCAGACTTAGATTAGATCTTAAATTTGAAATATTACAAATTATGAGGTAAGCTGGTATTATGGCTAAGT